TCTAGGGAGGCTGAGGCAGGAGAATTGCTTGAACCCAGGAGGCAGAGGTTGCAGTGAGTCAAAATTGTGCTACTGCACTCCAGCCTGGGCAACAGAGAGAGTCTGTCTCAAAAAAAAAAAAAAAAAGTAGAAAAACAGCAAGTAACCTAATGATGCACCTTAAAGAACTAGAAAAGCAAAGGCAAACCAAACCTAAAATTAGTAAAATAAAAGAAATAATAAAGATCAGAAGGCCAGGATTGGTGGCTCACGCCTGTAATCTCAGCACTTTGGGAGGCTGAGGCAGGCAGATCACTTGAGGTCAGGAGTTCAAGATCAGCCTGGCCAAGATGGTAAAACCCCACCTGTACTAAAAATACAAAAATTAGCTGGGAGTGATGGTGGGCACCTGTAATCCCAGCTACACAGGAGGCTGAGGCAGGAGAATTGCTTGAACTCAAGAGGCGGATGTTGCAATGAGCTGGGATCATGCTACTGTACTCCAGCCTAGGCACAGAGCAAGACTCGGTCTCAAAAAAAAAAAAAAGATCAGAGTAGAAATAAATGGAATTAAAACAAGGAAAACAGTACAAAAGATTAACATAACAAAAAGTTTTTTGAAAAGAAAATCAACAAACCTTTAGGCAGACTAAGATATAAATAAATAAAATCAGAGATGAAAACGGAGACATTACAACCAATACCACAGAAATTCAAAAGATCATTGGAGGCTACTATGAGCAACTACATGCCAATAAATTGGAAGAAATAGACAAACTTCTAGACACACGCAACCTACGAAGATTAACTATGAAGAGATTCAAAACCTGAATACACCGATAACAAGTAATAAAACAGAAGCTGAAATAACATCTCCTCGCAAAGAAAAGCCCAAGACCCCACGGCTTTGCTGCTGAATTTTATTTAGCAAACATTTATCTATTTATTCATTCATTCATTCATTCATTCATTCATTCATTCATTCATTCATTCAGACAGAGTTTTGCTCTTGTTGCCCAGGCTGGAGTGCAGTGGTGCAATCTTGGATCACTGCAACCTCCACCTTCCAGTTTCAAGCGATTCTCCTGCCTCAGCCTCTCAAGTAGCTGGGATTACAGGTGCCCACCACCACATCCAGCTAATTTTTGTATTTTTAGTAGAGACGGAATTTCACTGTGTTGGCCAGGCTGGTCTCGAACTCCTGACCTTGTAATCCGCCTGCCTCAGCCTCCCAAAGTGCTGGGATTATGGGCATGTGCCACTGTGCCTGGCCTAACAAACATTTAAAGAACACCAATCCTGCTCAAACTATTCTGAAAAATATAGGAAAATGAAAAACCTCCAAACTCACTCTACAAGGCCAGTATTATCCTGATACCAAAACCAAACAAAGACACATTAAAAAAAAAGAAAACCATAGGCTAATATCCTTGATGAACATTAAGGCAAAAATCCTCAACAAAATTACTAGCAACCTGAATCCAAAAATACATTAAAAGATCATTCACCGTGACCAAGTGGGATTTATTTATCCCAGGGATGCAAAGATGGTTCAACATATGCAAATCAATCAATGTAATACAGCATATCAACAGAATGAAGGACAAAAACCACATATTTAGAGGCCGGGTGTGGTGGCTCATGCCTGTAATCCCAGCACTTTGGGAGGCCTAGGCGGTGGATCACCTGAAGTCAGGAGTTCAAGACCAGCCTGACCAATATGGTGAAACCTCATCTCTATTTTTCAAAACAAAAACAAAAACAAAAAAACCCCACATATTTTCAACTGATGCTAAAGAAAGCATTTGATAAAATTCAAAATTCTTTCATAATAAAAACCCTCATAAAGCTGGGTATAGTAAGGAACATCCTCAACACTATAAAAGCCATATGCAACAGACCCACAGCTAATACTATACTGAATGAGGAAAAACTGAACTAAAATCTAGAACACCACAAAGATGCTCATTTTAACCACTGTTATTCAACATAGTACTGGAAGTCCTAGCAAGAGCAATCAGGAATGAGAAAAAAATAAAGGATGTCCACATTGGAAAGGAAGAAGTCAAATTATCCTTGTTTGCAGATGATATGATCTGATATTTGGAAAAACCTAAAGACTCCACCAAAAAACTATTGGAACTGATAAAGAAATTCAGTGAAGTTACAGGATACAAAAATCAACATACATAGAAGACCCAGAATAGCCAAAGCTATCCTGAGCAAAAAGAACAAAACTAGAGAAATCACATTACTTGACTTCAAATTATACTACAGCATTGCAGTAATGAAAACGGCATGGTGCTGGCATAAAAATATACACATAGACTAATGTAACAGAACCCAGAACCCAGAAACAAATTCATATGCCTATAGTAAACTCAATTTCAATAAAGGTGCCAAGAACATACATTAGAAAAGGGCAGTCTCTTTAATAAATGGTGCTGGGAAAACTGGATATCCATATGCAGAAGAAAACTAGACCCCTATCTCTTGCCATATATGAAAACCAAAAAAAATGAATTAAAGACTTAGATCTGAGGCTGGGCATGGTAGCTCACACCCGTTATCCCAGCACTTTGGGAGGCCAAGGCAGGCAGATCATCTGAGGTCAGGAGTTCAAGGCCAGCCTGGTCAACATGGTGAAACCTTGTTTCTACTAAAAAACACAAAAAATTAGCCAGGGGTGGTGACAGGCACCTGTAATCCCAGCTGGTTGGGAGGCTGAGGTGGGAGAATCACTTGAACCTGGGAGTTGGAGGTTGAAGTGAACAAAGAGGGCATTTTCTATGCAGAATCCCGGCAAAAATATTCGTAAGATTAGGATGATGGATAACAGGCATTCTAATGTATTGCTAATAAGAGTAGAAATTGATGCAATCTTTCTGAAGGGCAATTTGTGTTAAAAAAATTATTCGAATACTTCTTAAAACAGTAAGGAGACTTTATTCAAGGCTATTCCAAAAGAGGTATCACAATAGGTGAGAGACTGGGTTCAAATCAGAATACAAGGACAAGTGGGGATTCACAGCCAAGAGCAAGGTAAGGCCGGGCATGGTGGCTCGCGCCTGTAATCCCAACTCTTTGGGAGGCAAAGGGAGGTGGATCATGAGGTCAAGAGATCAAGACCATTCTGGCCAACAGGGTGAAACCTGTCTCTACTAAAAACAAACACAAAAGAAATTAGCTGGGTGTCGTGGTGGAGGCTGCAGTGAGCTGGGATTGTGCCACTGCACTCCAGCCTGGTGACAGACTGAGACTCCATCTCAAGGAAAAAAAAAAAGTGCTGGTGAAGCAGTCAGTGGATAGACAATTTCTAACAGTGAGACATCATGGGTAAGGAAATTCTTACTAAACTGACCTAACAGGATTCTTATTAAAGGCAGGCCGGCCGGGTGACCAGCCTAGCCAACATGCAAAACCCTGTCTCTACTAAAAATACAAAAAAAAAAAAAAAAAAAGAAAAAAGTAGCCAGGCACAGTGGCGCATGCCTGTAGTCCCAGCTATTTGAGAGGCCAAGTCAGGAGAATCACCTGAACACGAGAAGCAGAGGTTGCAGGGAGCCAAGATCCCGCCACTGCACTCCAGCCTGGGAAACAGAGCAAGACTCCGTCAAATCAAAAAACTAAAAATTAAAAAAAAAAAAAAAAAAGGCCGGGCATGGTGGCTCACGCCTGTAATCTAAGCACTTTGGAGGCCAAGGCAGGTGGATCACCTGAGGTCAGGAGTTCAAGACCAGCCTGACCAACATGGTGAAACCCCGTCTTTAAAAAATAAAAATAACAATAAATAAATAAAGGCCAAGGATTTGAACATTGAAGGTAGGAAATGAGGAATATGATCAGATAGCAAAGGTGATCAGACTATCAAATGTGAGAAATTCTCTCTGAATTGACAGCAGGATTCTTTGCTAAGGCTGGGCTGGGCAGGCCAAAGATGGGATGGGGCCAAGTTCCCTCAAGGAGAATCTCTGTCACTGATAATGTTTATCAAAATTAAAGGGCCAGGCACAGTGACTCATACCTGTAATCCCAGTACTTTGGGAGCCGAGGCGAGAAATTGCTTGACCCCAGGAAGTGACTCCATTTCTACCAAAAAAAAAAGGCCATGTATGATAGCATGGTAGCTCAATGTAGCATTCAACTGCTGGGCTCAAGCAATCCTCCCAACTCAGCCCTGCTCCACCCTGGCTTTTAGTAGCTGAGACTACAGCTACAGCTACACCACACATGGCTTTTTTTTTTTGTAGAGACAATGTCTTTTTTTAAATTTTGAGATGGAGTTTTGCTCTTGTCACCCAGGCTGGAGTGCAATGGCATGATCTCAGCTCACCGAAACCTCCATCTCCTGGGTTCAAGCAATTCTCCTGTCTCAGCCTCCCAAGTAACTGGGACTACAGGCATACACGACCATACACAGCTACTTTTTGTATTTTTAGTAGAGACGGGGTTTCACCATGTTGACCAGGATGGTCTCAATCTCTTGACCTCGTGATCCACCCGCCTCGGCCTCTCAAAGTGCTAGGATTATAGGCGTGAGCCACTGTGCCCAGCCTGAGACAATGGTCTTACTATGTTGCCCAGTGGTCTGGAACTACTGGGCTCAAGTAATCCTCCCACCTTGGCCTCCCAAAGTGCTGGAATGACAACTATGAGCCACTGTACCTGGCCAATAGTGATCAACTTTGGCGGGAGGCACTAGGAAACAGTAGCAGAAGGAAGTTATTTTTCATTTCATACCTTTCTAGGTATGATATACTATACTTTCTGGGTATAATATAGCTATCCCACTATTACTGGAAATGAAATTTCTTTCTATATTATTTCAGTTTCTTACTCTGAGCATACACTACATATGCACAAAACAAACATAAATAAATTGTAGGTCAAGGAAGGAAGACATTTTCTCAACTGGCTTTGAGTTTGATTTCATGCTAGTGTACTGGTTGGTTATTTTTTCATGCTTATCAGATACCTCAAAAAATACTTGGCTAGTTACATTTGAGTAGTCTGACTCATACCTGTGAGTGTTCTGAAAGGAAATCTGGAAGAAGATAAACTTGTGCCAGTAACTGTGTAGTCACGACAGCGAAAATAATAAATATGGGAAAGAATATTTTCAAGAGTGAAATCCTCCAAAGCTTTTCGATGTTCTGAAACAACAGAACAATCTTAATTAGTTTTACCTATTTGGATGTGCTGGCAATTAAGTAGGAAAACAATACTTTTTAATAACAAAATGATTTCCTTTAGATAACAAAATTATTTAACTGAAAGATGACAAACTGTAGCAAAAATTACTATAAACTATCAGTTCATAATTCCTGATCTCTCTTAATTTTTTAGAGGTGAGGTCTCACTCTGATGCCCAGGCTGGAGCACCATGGCAATCATAGCTCACTGCAATCTCCAACTCCTAGGCTCAAGGGATCCTCTTGCCACAGCCTTCCAAAGCACTGGGATTACAGGCATAAAACACTGTGCCCAGCCACTTGATTTTTTTTTTTTTTTTTTTGAGATAAAGTCTCACTCTGTCACCCAGGCTGGAGTGCAGCGGCATGATCTCCACATACTGTAACCTCTAAAGCCTCTGGGCTCAAGCGATTTTCCTGCCTCAGCCTCTCGAGTAGTTGGGATTACAGGTGCTCACCACCATGCCCGGCTAATTTTCCTATTTTCAATAGAAATGGGGTTTCAACATGTTGGCCAGGCTGGTCTCGAACTCCTGACCTCAAGTGATCCGCCTGCCTCAGCCTCCCAAAGTGCTGAAATTATAGGCATGAGCCACCACACACAGCCTGATCTTTTATTTTCATATTTTCCACTGTTTCCTTATATATCAGGCTATGTAAAATTATTTATAAACAAATACAACTAGTGTTTTAATGCCTGCCTTTTCATATTTTTCTTTCCTTTTTTTTTTTGAGGTGGAGTTTAGCTCTTGTTGCCCAGGCTGGAGTGCAATGACACGACCCTGGCTCACTGCAACCTCTGCATCCCAGGTTCAAGCAATTCTCCTGCTTCAGCCTCCCAAGTAGCTGGGATTACAGGCACCTGCCACCATGCCCGGATAATTTTTTGTATTTTTAGTAGAGACGGTTTCACCATGTTGGCCAGGCTGGTCTCAAACTCCTAACCTCAGGTGATCTGCTCACCTCCGCCTCCCAAAGTGCTGGGATTACAGGCATGAGCCACTGCGCCAGGACGCCTTTTCCCATTTCTAGTCACTGGCTTCATTGAACAGAAGTAACATAATTAAGTTTCTATTTCTTGTTTTTTTCCTTTGGACTACAAATTAAGTTAATGGCAGCCTGGGCAACATGGCAAAATCCCATTATCTGCAAAAAATACAAAAATTAGGTGTGGTAGAGTCTTAGCTACCTAGGAGGTTAAGGTAAGAGGATTGCTTGAGCCTGGGAGGTCAAGGCTACAGTAAGCTGTGATTGTGCCACTGGACTCCAACCTGGGTAACACAATAAAACTCGGTCTCTTAAAAAAAAAAGTTAGGAAAAATGTTCAAATGAAGCATTGTTTCTGTTGAATGCTATAGTATAATTTGATATTTAACTAGCAACAATTATTTAAAATCATCCTTAGATTGAATGTTTAAAAAAAATTAAACAGTTTGAGGCTGGGCGTGGGGGGGCTCATGCCTGTAATTCCACTACTTTAGGAGGCCAAGTTAGGTGGATCACTAGGTCAGGAGTTCAAGACCAGCCTGGCCAACATGGTGAACCTCTATCTCTACTAAAAATACAAAAATTAGCCTGGCATGGTGGCGCGTGCCTGTAATCCCAGCTACTCGGGAGGCTGAGGCAGGAGAATTGCTTGAGCCCTGGAGATAGAGGTTGCAGTGAGATGAGATTGAGCCACTGCACTCTAGCCTTGGCGACAGAGCAAGACTCTGTCTCAGAAAAAAAAAAGTTTGGTTTTGTACATATTTCAAGATTGCACCACTGCATTCCAGCCTGGGTGACAAGAGTGAGACTCCGTCTCAAAAAAAACTTGAGGAAGGGCAGAGTTCCTTTATCTGTTTCTTCTCAATTGCCTTCAGCTCAAAATAATCCTTATGCCAAACTGGCATATTTTGGGGTGGCATATCCTGCCAGTGCCCAAAAGTCTTTCAGTAAGCGTGCCAGTCATCAGCTAAATGGAATACTTAGAACCTCCACAAAAAAGAAAATGCAGCTGACTATACTCATTTAAAGGAAATAGACAAACAAAATCTTATGAAAAGCATTACTTTTTAAAAAAACTTCTAGAGGAAAGAATAAAGACCTTACATCCAAAAAATAAATAAGACAAAGCAAAAGAAAACAGTCAATCAGGCTGGGCACGGTGGCTCACACCTGTAATCTCAGCACTTTGGGAGGCCAAGATGAGTGGATCATAAGGTCAGGAGTTTGAGACCAGCCTGGCCAGTATGGTGAAACTCCATCTCTACTAAAAATACAAATTAGCTGGGCATGGTGGTGCCCACCTGTAGTCCCAGCTACTCAGGAGGCTGAGGCAGGAGAACTGCTTCAACCAGTCAGGCGGAGGTTGCAGTGAGCAGAGATTGTGCCACTGCACTCTAGCCTGGGCGACAGAGCAAGACTCCGTCAAAAAGAAAGAAAAAAGAAAACAGGGCCGGGCGCAGTGGCTCAAGCCTGTAATCCCAGCACTTTCGGAGGCCAAGGCAGGTGGATCACGAGGTCAAGAGATTGAGACCATCCTGGTCAACATGGTGAAACCCCGTCTCTACTAAAAATACCAAAAATTAGCTGGACATAGTGGCGCATGCTTGTAATCCCAGCTACTCAGGAGGCTGAGGCAGGAGAATTGCCTGAACCCAGGAGGCGGAGGTTGTGGTGAGCCGAGATCGCGCCATTGCACTCCAGCCTGGGTAGCAGAAGCAAAACTCTGTCTCAAAAAAAAAAGAAAAAAGAAAACAGTCAATCCATAAGCCATTTAATTTATAAGTAATTGAAAGAATAAGGACTTGAATATAAATTACCTTTCAAAAAACTATTTTAGGCCAGGCTCATGCCTGTAATCCCAGCACTCTGGGAGGCCAAGCAAGATTCTGTTTCAAAAAAACAAAAAAATTGTTTTATAGTCACTTTATTTTCACCTAACAAGCACCAAAGATACCTCCCAAACACTTTAAAACTCAGTGCAGTTGCCCGGGGTACAGTGGCTCAAGCCCGTAATCTCAGCACTTTGGGAGGCCGAGGCAGGTGGATTATTGGCGGTCAGGAGTTCAAGTTATGAAATCAGCTATATACTAACCAAAGCCCCATGTCTATCTGCTTAATAATCCAAACATTTCAGACATAATTTTCTTTCTTTTTTACCAAAAAAATTTTAACCTTTTGAGTTGGTTTCAAACATTATTTTCTTTTTTTTTTTTTCAGAGACAGTCTTACTCTGTCGCCTAGGCTGGAGCGCACCAGCTCATTCTGGGCTTACAGCAACCTCTGCCTCCTGAGTTCAAGTGATTCTCCTGCCTCAGCCTCCTGAGTAACTGAGATTATAGGCGTGTACCACCATACCTGGCTAATTTTTGTATTTTTAGTAGAGACAGGGTGTCATCACATCAGTCAGGCTGGTCTCAAACTCCTGATCTCAGGTGATCCACCCACCTCGGCCTCCCAAAGTGCTGGGATTACAGGCATGAGCCATTGCACTTGGCCTCAGACGTGGTTTTCAAAGCTACCTTTGGTTTTTGGAAAGCTAATATGGAAATTATACATTGAATATATTTAACAACAGTTGCTTATATTAAGGTGTCCAAAAACATTAACTTATACCTAATAAGATGGAGTATGATGACTGAAATACATACATAGGTTTTGTCCCAACGCTTCTACGGTAAGAAGTGAGGGCCATAAAGTGGGAGGGAAAAAAAACCAGTCCAGGCTGTGGCATTTCCCATTTTGTAAAAGTAGTAGCAGAGTTTAACACTAGTTCACTGTCAAGTCATTAGGCTTTATATTCCAAATGATCTGTTGCCGAGGTCTGAGATGGGCACAAATGCAAATTACTAATACAGAAAATGCAAATTATTAATAGAGAAAAAAGGAGGATTATTTGCTAACTTACCCTCTCCCTTGTGTTTTTCTGCTATAAGCTGAAGGTGTTGAATGCAGGCAGTAGCAAGGTCTACCACTCTATCAACCATAAAACTTCCCTCTGTATCAATAAAAACTGCTTCACCTGCCACTCCTCCAAAACATTCCGGTATCTGCACATCTACTGCCAACTGCACACTGTCGAGAGAAAGATGGCAAATTAACTAAATCATCATGATCATCTAAGGCAGTGTATTTGAAACTCCAGATAATGACAGTTAGATATCACTAAAGTTTTATAAATGCAAATATACTCCCAAGGCAACAGAAATGTCTAACTCGTCATGGCTCCAGATGTAATGTGAACCAATTGACTATATGTGAATCAAACGGATTGGGGGGAGGGTATGCCTATAAAATCAAGATTAAGGATATTTTAATATTTTCCAGGCCTCTAGAAATGGAGCCCCTTTTTATACATAAATCTACTTTCTATTTTTGCTTTTTTTGAGACAGAGTCTTACTCTGTCACCCAAGCTGGAGTGCAGTGGCACAATCTCAGCTCAATGCAACCTCCATGCCACATTTCCTTGACTCCACTGTGGTCTGTTAGGTGAAGCCTCAGAGTCATTAATAGGAATGATCTCAAGTGGGAGTAGTGACTAACAAGCACACACTGGCCAGTTACCTTTTTTTCTTGGTGTGAAAAACTCAGGCAACAATCATTTGGATTAGTCTGCATGCTCACTGTAGAGTTGCAGCCTCTTGGCTCTTCTCATTGGCCATCCACCTTTTGTAATCCTCCTCGATTTTCAGGCCCCGGTGAGGGATTGTAGGCCAGCTCCCAGTGGCCCCTGGGAGACAGTCCCCATTTCCCGCACCCACCCATGCCTTCCCAGGAGTTGAGTCTCGAGCATGGAGGTTTCTAAGACTGTTATTCCTTCATGGCCTGCCTAGCTTAAGAAGTAGCTGGAAAAGTAAGCAACTAATGTTCCCATTAGTGGGTCTAGGCTCCTGGGGTCCTGAAAGGGAGGAGCTGGGCTACACAAGAGCTCCTTTTGTGGTTCCCAGGTTCAAGCCATTATCCTGCCTCAGCCTCCTGAGTAGCTGGGACTACGTGCCACCATGCCTGGCTAATTTTTTTGTATTTTTAGTAGAGACAGGGTTTTGCCACGTTGGCCAGGCTGGTCTCGAACCTTTGACCTCAGGTGATCTGCCCGCCTCTGGCTCCCAAAGTGCTGGGATTACAGGCGTGAGCAACAGTGCCTGGCCTCTTTTTTGATATAGGGGTCTCACTCTGCTGCCCAGACAGGAATGCAGTGGCGCAATCAAGGCTCACTGCAGTTTCAACCTCCCCAACTGAAGCAATCCTCCTGCCTCAGCCTCCCAAATAGCTAGGACCACAAGCATGTGCCACCACAGCCAGCTAATTTTTCATTTGTAGTAGAGGTGAGGTCTCACTGTTTCCCAGATGGGCCTCAAACTCCTGGGCTCAAGCGATCCTCCTGCCTCAACCTCCCAAAGTTCTGGGATTATAGGCATGAGACACTGCACCTAGCCATAAATCTACTTTCAAACATCTGACTTTCAAATATAGTCTCAGGAATGAATGAAGCAGAAACTTCCTGTTTAACCATATGACTACAGTACAATTTGCAAAAGAAACATTTTTTCATATCAAAATAATTGCATCAATTTATTAAGAAGGGATACTGAAGTAACACAAATAGTAAGTTAATTTTTGTTTGATGCACAGACAGACTTAAAATTAAGAGCACATACATACCTTACTTGGTTTCCTGACTATAAACCGACAGTACAAAATATTACTTTCATAATATGTTATTAAACCTGCCCTTAAAAGAAGAACATTTTATTTTACCATAATTGTGTTTTTCCAATGCCTGGTGCACCACAAATTTCTGTTGTTTTCATTAAGGGTACTCCACCCCCAAGAATATTATCTAGTGCTGAACAGAAGGTAATTATGGAGCCCTGGATATGCTCCTGCTCAAGAAGTTCCAGTGCTGTACACTTCTTGCCTGACTCAGATGTACCAGCATATCTTCGTTTATTTGTGAGACATTCTCTTCTTATAATTTGCAGAGTTTCTAAGGCTTCCTCTTTAGATATCCCAACTTCTGAAAATAAAATAAGAAAAAAAGAACCCTAATTTTAGAGATTTAAAACAGTGTAACATGATATAATGGATTGTCTTCACTAATTTTAATTTTTAGACAGGAGTGATGCTAAGAGTAGAGAAAGATAAAAATGTAACATTCTATCAACCATTTAACTTTTGAGTTTGGCTGGACACTATGGCTCACACCTGTAATCCCAGCATTTTGGGAGGCCAAGGTGGGCAGATCACGAGGTCTGGAGTTCAAGACCACCCTGGCCAAGGTGGTGAAACCCCATCTCTACTAATACAAAAATTAGCTAGCCGTGGTGGCACACGCCTGTAATCCCAGCTATTCCCTGGGAGGCTGAGGCAGGGAGAATTGCTTGAATCCGGGATGTGGAGGTTGCAGTGAGCTGAGATCACACCATTGCACTCCAGCCTGGGTGACAGAGCGAGACTCCATCTCAAAAAAAAAAAAACTTCAGATTATTAAAGGAATTTGTTTTCTTAGTCATCACTTAAAGATTTTCCTATTATCTCGGAAATGATTCAACTAAAGCATTTCTGAGTACCTACAAGAATGTCTCAGGAAGCAGAAATAAAAATGTACTCACTATTTTTTTTTCTTTTTTTGAGATGGAGTTTTGCTCTTGTTGTCTAGGCGTGATCTTGGCCCACCGCAACCTGACCTCCCAAGTTCAAGCAATTCTCCTGCCTCAGCCTCCCGAGTAGCTGGGATTACAGGCATGCACCACCACGCCCGGCTAATTTTTTGTATTTTTAGTAGAGAGGGGGTTTCTCCATGTTGGCCAGACTGGTCTCTAACTCCTGACCTCAGGTGATCCACCCACCTCAGCCTCCCAAGGTGCTGGAATTACAGGCGTGAGCCACTGCGCTTGGGGTTTCTTTCTTTTTTGAGACGGAGTCTTGCTCTGTCTCCCAGGCTGGAGTGCAGTGGCTCCATCTCAGCTTACTGCAACCTCCACCTCCCGGGTTCAAGCAATTCTCCTGCCTCAGTCTCCTTGAGTAACTGGGATTATAGGCACACACCATGACACCCAACTAATTTTTGTATTTCAACATCGGGTTTCACCATGTTGGTCAGGCTAGTCTCCAATGCCTGACCTCGTGATTTGCCCACCTCAGCCTCCCAAACTGCTGGTATTACAGGCATAAGCCATTGCACCCAGCCAAAATGTACTCACTGTTAGCACATTTTTACTATCTCTTTTGGTCTTATGAAGCCACAATTATCTCATACTCATAAAGTATACAAATTTTTCACATGAGAATGAAAAATTCCCATTTTTAACTGCCTGAAATAAGGTACAACTTTAAGAAGCACATATGCATGTATTATTTACAATAAAAAGTTTTCATGGAAATAACTGATGTAAAAAAATTCATATATCACTGCAAACTAATGTGAACAATTACCCAATGCACAAGTATTTTAAAGAATTCACTTATGCTCCCTTGACTATGCAATTTCACCCGTCTGACAGTATGGCCTGAGAAGAGAAAATGGCAGTTACAAAACAAGCTGGCTGAAGAAATAATGGTGAAGATGACATCACTTATCAGTTTAATATATTGGTGCTTGATTTGATAAGAATATGAGCCATAAATATGGGGCTAATAAAAGACAATGGTGATGACAACATTTAGGAAATGAAAATCTTATCCAGTTCAAGAGCCTGAATGCTGGAATCAGATTGCCTGGGTTTGTAAATTCTGGCACCACTTATGGTGTGACTTTGGACAAGTTACTTCACTTCTTTTTGCTCAGATTTTTTCTTCTATAAAACAGGAATGAGACAATACATGTAAAAAGCTTGGTAGAGGCCCACTGTAATCCAGTACTTTGGGAGGCCAAGGTGGGTGGATCACGAGGTCAAGAGATGGAGACCATCCTGATCAACATGGTGAAACCCCGTCTCTACTAAAAATCCAAAAAATTAGCTGGGCATGGTGGTGCATGCCTGTAATCCCGGCTACTCAGGAGGCGGAGGCAGGAGAATTGCTTGAACCCAGGAGGCGGAGGTTGCAGTGAGCCGAGATCGCGCCATTGCACTCCAGCCTGGGTAACAAGAGCGAAACTCCGTCTCAAAAAAAAAAAAGCTTGGTCTTATGAAGCCACGAGGCCATCTAAAATGGTCAATAGTTGTTAGTGATTATTATTATTCAGCGTCTCACATTTCTTCTTTGAAAAACCAACTTATTGAAGAAAAAGGAGGCCATCAAATTTTTGGGGACACAGTCTCTGTGCGGTATGACTTAAACAGTGAAGGTTGGGGTCTACAAAACTTTTTTTTTTTTTTTCCTTTTTTGAGACAGAGTCTCACTCTGTCGTCCAGGCTGGAGAACAGTGGCGCGATTTTGGCTCACTGCAACCTCCACGTCCCGCTTTCAAGCGATTCTCCTGCCTCAACTTCGCAAGCAGCTGGGACTACAGGTGCCCGCCACCACATCCAGCTAACTTTTGTATTTTATTTTTCTTTTTTGAGACGGAGTTTCGCTCTTGTTACCCAGGCTGGAGTTCAATGGCGCGATCTCAGCTCACGGCAACCTCCACCTCCTGGGTTCAAACAATTCTCCTGCCTCAGCCTCCCGAGTAGCTGGGACCACAGGCACACGCCACCATGCCCAGCTAATTTTTGTATTTTTAGTAGAGACGGGGTTTCACCATGTTGACCAGGACGGTCTCGATCTCTTGACCTCATGACCCACCCGCCTCGGCCTCCCAAAGTGTTGGGATTATAGGCGTGAGCCACCGCGCCCGGCCAATTTTTGTATTCTTAATAGAGACGGGGGTTTCACCATATTGACCAGGCTAGTCTGGAACTCCTGACCTTGTGATCCGCCCACCGCGGCCGCCCAAAATGCTGGGATTACAGGCGTGAGCCACCGCGCCCGGCCAAGACATTCTTTAGAGGCAAATTGAAACCTCCGTATTTTCCATCATTAAGGGCAATAATGAATAGCACAGGTCTGAGCATATCACAGTGTAATGTGCACAAAGCGTGACCACTGCAAGCTTCATATTTGTATACCTCAGGATGCAGGGGTTCCCACCAATGTATAATCTGCAGTGGTCTGGAATATGAGGTTTTGGGTGTTTTGGTGAATTAGGTAAGAGAAGAATATCCTTCCTACTGCTTCCTTAAGATTCCAGGGATTCTACTCCCTTTCTCATTCTTTGTGTCTCCAGTCCTACACAAATCCTGCATTTCTGAAATTTAACCCTTACCCCTTGGATCTTGGAACAGCAAAACTTAGACAACCAATTGTGACTCCACTATTTCCTAACCCAATTATCATGAAAAGTTACCTAACCTCCCCAAGATAAAAGTTGTCTCTCTCATCCATATGCTGAACATAATAACCGACGTAAGCAGGTTCTTTGGGGGTTAAATGAGACAATCCTCAAAGCATTCAGCAGGCATTGCCAGAGGAAAAGCAGTTAGGAAATGTTTTCACGACCAGTTCTCCTAACCATTCAAACAACTTGTAAGTGGAGTCGAGGAGCTGTTTCACGTTGTAACGCGGCCGTGAGAGGCAGCAGAATCTGAAGGAGACTGGGCTGAACCCAAGGCGGGAGCACCAAGACTGCGGCGGCACTGACGGCGGCCAGTGTGCCTCGGCTTGCCATCAGGAATCGTTACCTTTGCTAAGCTCGGAGGGTTTCACCTCCAGGAGTTCCTCAGCAGTCTGGAAACCCGCAGACACCAACTTCACCCGCACCGCTGAAGACAGCGGGAAACGCAGTAAATCCCGCTGCATTTCAAAGCTGAACGTCTTCTCGCGCAGTCGCACAGGCTCAGCGGCTAACCCCGGAGCAGCCAAGCTCCGCACGCCCTCGCCGGGGCGTACGGCGTGACGTCAGACGTAAAGCGGAAGGGGCTGGCCACGCGGCGGTGAGCCTTGCAGCTCTGCGCAGGCTTCTATGTTTTCATACTTAGGCACCATTCCATTATAATTCCCCAAAATCCCATTTAGAGATTCCTCAGGCCGGGCGCGGTGGCTCATAGCTGTAATTCCAGCACTTTGGGAGGCCGACGCGGGTGTTTCACGAGGTCAGAAGATCGAGACCATCTTGGCCAACATGGTGAAACCTTGTCTCTACTAAAATACAAAAAAACTAGCCTGGTGTGGTGGCGCACGCCTGTAGTCCCAGCTATTCGGGAGGCTGAGGCAGAGGAATCGCTTGAACCCGGGAGGCGCAGGCTGAAGTGAGCGGAGATCGCGCCACTGCATTCCAGCCTGGCGACAGAACAAGACTATGTCTCAAAAATAATAACAATAAATAAATAAAAAGAGATTCTCTATCAAATGTACACCCTGACTGTAAAACAATGGATGGAGACCCTAAGAGAGAGAGCAAGGCCCAATGGGTTTTCCACGCCACATTTCCTTGCCTCCACTGTGGCCTGTTAGGTGAAGCCGCAGTCACCTAACATTAATGGGTGAAGCCCATTAATGGGAATGATCTCCAGTAGGAGCATTAAGAGTAACGAGCATACACTGGCCAGTTACCATTTTTTTGGTGTGAAAAGCTCAGGGAACAATCATATCAGGATTAATCTGTGTGCTCATTGTAGAGTTGCAGTCTCTTGGCTCTTCCCGCTGACCGTCCCCCTTTCCTGACCCCCTCGCTTTTCCCGCCCTCGCAAGGGATTGTGGGCCAGCCCCCAGCTGCCGCTGCGAGAGATAAGTCCTCATTCCCCGCACCCACCAACGCCTTTCTGTAGTCTAGTCTCGAGCATGGAGGGTTCTGAGACCGTTATTTCTTCATGGCCTGCCTAGCTTTAGAAGTAGCTGGAAAAGTAAGCAACTAATGTTTCCATTTTTGGGTCTGGGGTCCTGAGAGGGAGGAGTGGGGCTACACAAGAGCTCCTTTTGTGGTACAGAGTTGGGAAGGGGCCTTCAAGCCATGGTAGTGACCGCTTCTAAATTAATGAATTTTGGGGAGAAAGGGAAGCAGTTTAGAAGGTGGTTTATGAGATCTTTCCTCGCCTAGGTGAGTGTGACTTATTTAAGGGGGGGTAACTTATTCCCTACCTATTGGCGATGATTCTTTGTCTTGACTTTTCTTTCCAGCTTAGAAGAACTTCCTAAATATTGCAAATCAGAGCCTTCTGCATACTTAGATCTAAAAAAAAGGAAAAAAGGTACTTTTGAGCACTTTAGCAAATCCCCCACATTTCAGATGGCCATAGTTATGCCAGAAGGAAGATAAGGACATAGAGGCTCAGCATGTAGTTTAATATCAATTCTGATCAAAGAAAAAGGGCTGGCCGGGTGCGGTGGCTCACACCTGGAATCCCAGCACTTTGGGAAACCAAGGCAGGCAAATCTCCTTGAGCTCATACATTTGAGACCAGCCGCGACAACATGGCAAAGGTGGTGAAACCCCGTCTCTACCAAAAATACAAAAAATTAGCCGGGCGTGGTGGCGTGCACCTATGGTCCCAGCTACTCAGGATTCTTCTTCCTCAGCCTCCTGAGTAGCTGGGATTACAGGCGGCCACCACCACACCCAGCTAACTTTTTGTATTTTTAGTAGAGACAGGGTTTCGCTATGTTGGCCAGGCTAGTCTCAACCTTCTGACCTCGTAATCTGCCCTCCTTGGCCTCCCAAAGTGCTGAGATTACAGGTGTGAGCCACCGTGCCCAGCCTTCATCATCATTCTTAAAATGTCTTTAGGCTGGGCACGGTGGCACACACCTGTAATCCTAGCACTTTGGGAGGCTGAGGCAGGTGGATCACACAGTCAGGAGTTCAAGACCAGCATGGCCAAGATGGTGAAACCCCGTCTCTACCAAAAATATAAAAATTAGCCAGGTGTGGTGGTGGGTGCCTGTAATCCCAGCTACATGGGAGGCTGAGGCAGAGAATTGCTTGAACCTGGGAGACGGAGGTTGCAGTGAGTCGAGATTGTGCCACTGCACTCCAGCCTAGGTGACAGAGTGACACTTCGTCTCAAAAAAAAAAAAAAAAGTCTTTAATGCAGTTTTCTCTGTAGTCATGCTTTCAAACTGGGATCCAGGTTTTTGAAGCCAGGCACTAGGAACTAAACAAAGCTATGGGATAAATATGGAAGGTGTACCTTCTTGTATTACCACTTTTTTTTTTCAAAAAAGATTTTTAGGGAGGTAAGAGTTAAATAATTTACTCGATAAGTCATTTGAAATGGCTTACATTTAAACACACATTGCATCTGTGTAATGTAGGTAAATCATTTAAAATTTTGAAAAAGATACCACGTAAGACATGCCTTTGTTCCTCCTTAAAATTTTTTTTTGAAGAAGAAAATAAACATTAATAAAATGTGGGTTAGGCTGGGCTCAGTGGCTCACACCTGTACTCCCTACACTTTGGGAGGCTGAGGGGGTCAGATCATGAGGTCAAGAGATCAAGACCATCCAGACCAACATGGTGAAACCCTCTCTACTAAAAATACAGAATTAGCTGGGCATGGTGGCGCCCACCTGTAGTCCCAGCTACTCAGGAGGCTGAGGCAGGAGAATCGCTTGAACCCAGGAGGTGAAAGTTGCAGTGAGCTGAGGTTGTGCCACTGCACTCCAGCCTGGTGACATAGTAAGGCTCTGTCTCAAATTAATTAATTAAGTAATTAAGTAAAAGTAGGGTAAAATGCAAATATAAAAATAAATTTTAAGAGAAAAGCATGAGGTCAGAGACATATCAGGCTTAAATAGGATACTTCAGTAATCTCCCAAACTCCCCTAGGAATATATTTTGGTTTTTCTTGCAACTTAAGGTTACTTCATGAAAAAATTTGAGGGACATTGCTATGGGCAAACCAGCATGGGCTACTACGGAATCATACAGAGTTGGATTTGTATCACATGTCTGGAAGTTACCAACTATGTGACCTTCAGCAAGTTACTCAGTCTCCTCATCTGCAAGTAGAAGAGAATATCTCCTGGGGTTTTGGGCAAGGTTCAATGAACACATATACAGAACTTATCAAAAAAAAAGGTACATAATGAATCTGAGTCTGTTTCTCCATTTTTACAGTATCTTAATGTGCATGTTCACTTGGAATAAGTCCTTATAGAATACCTAGCTCAGCAGAATGCTGATGCTGAGACGTTTTTAAAAATGTCTACAATTGGGCTGGGCGGGGTGGCTGACGCCTATAATCCCAGCACTTTGGGAGGCCGAGGCGGATCACGAGGTCAAGAGATCGAGACTATCCTGGTCAACATGGTGAAACCCGACTCTACTAAAAATACAAAAACTAGCTGGGCATGGTGGTGAGCGCCTGTAGTCCCAGCTGCTCGGGAGGCTGAGGCAGGAGAATTGCTTGAACCCAGGAGACGACGGTTGCGGTGAGCCGAGATCGTGCCATTGCACTCCAGTCTGGGTAACAACAGCGAAACTCTGTCTCAAAAAAAAAAAAAGTCTACAATTGGGCCAGATACAGTGGCTCACACCTGTAATCCCAGCACTTTAGGACTCTGAGATTGGGGGTTCACTTGAGGTCAGGAGTTTAAGACCAGCCAGGGCATCGTGGTAAAACCCCATTTCTACTAAAAGTACAAGATTAACTCGGGGTGGTAAAGGGTCCTGTGTTTTTTTCAGATGGAGTTTTGCTCTTGTTACCCAGGCTGGAGTGCAATGGCGCGATCTCGGCTCACTGCAACCTCCGCCTCCTGGGTTCAAGCAATTCTCCTGCCTCAGCCTCCCGAGTATCTGGGATTACAGGTGCGCGCCACCATGCCCAACTAAACTTTTTGTATTTTTAGTAGAGATGGGGTTTCACCATGTTGACCAGGATGGTCTCGATCTCTTAACCTTGTGATCCACCCGCCTCAGCCTCCCAAAGTGCTGGGATTATAGGTGTGAGCCACCATGCCCGGCCAAGGGTGCCTGTTATCCCAGCTACTTGGAAGGCTGAGGCAGGAGAACCACTGGAACATGGGAGGCAGAGATTGCAGTGAGCTGATATCACCACGCTGTACCCCAGCCTGGGTGACAAGAGGAAAACAAGACAAAACAAAACAAGTCTGCAGTTGTAAAAGTGCCAAAGTAAAGTGCTTTTACATATTTTATTTTCTTCGACTGGATCGTTACAGTAATCCTATGACTGGAGTCTCCATTCAGGATTAGCACCATGAAGATTGGATCACTAAAACAAAATTAAATATTTGTTAAATGCAAGTTATGTGTCAGATGACAGGGTAAACAAGACAGATTATCTGCCCTCATGGAGCTTATAATCCATCAGGATCTTTTTTGAGTATTTCTGACATTTTGTGTTTCTGACTTGTGTAGCTATCTTGATATAATACTAAAAGTAGGAAGGAGTTATTACTGTCAATATCTATAGTTAACCTTTTAGAGTATTCCAATAATGAGACATTTTCAGGTTGACTGGGCTGTTTTCTGGAGATGTATGAGAGGAATAATATAAACACTTTGGTTAGAGCTGGGGAGAAGTTTATTTTCTTTTAGCCTAAGAACATAGAACTTTAAAAAATGGTGACCATGGCTGTGTGTGATTGCTTATTCCTGTAATCCCAGCACTTTGGGAGGCTGAGGTGGGTGGATTACTTGAGGTCAGGAGTTCCAAGACCAGCCTGGCCAACATGGTGAAACCCTGTCTCTACTAAAAATGCAAAAATTAGGCAGGCATGGTGGCAGACACCTGTAATCCCAGCTTCAGGAGGCTAAGGCAGGAGAATTGCTTGAACCCCAGAGATAGAGATTGCTGTGAGCTGAGATCCCACCACTGCACTCCAGTCTGGATGATTGGGTGAGACTGCATCTCAAAAAAAAAAAAAAAGAAGAGATGACCTTTCATGTTCAAGTTGATTTGGGAATGGAGAAAGAAGTGAATGTTGTTTGGACTG